GAAGAACGTGTAGGTGCACATCTAGAGACTAGGAGTAGAAGAACGTGTAGGTGCACATCTAGAGACTAGGAGTAGAAGAACGTGTAGGTGCACATCTAGAGACTAGGAGTAGAAGAACGTGCTACATTTCTGGTGGTGTCTGGCCGTGATAATGCTACATTTCTGGCTGTGATAATGCTACATTTCTGGTGCTGTCTGGCTGTGGTAATGCTACATTTCTGGCGTGGTAATGCTACATTTCTGGTCGTGATAATGCTACATTTCTGGTGCTGTCTGGCCGTGGTAATGCTACATTTCTGGTCGTGATAATGCTACATTTCTGGTCGTGATAAAGCTATATTTCTGGTCGTGATAATGCTACATTTTTGGTGCTGTCTGGCCGTGGTAATGCTACATTTCTGGCCGTGATAATGCTACATTTCTGGTCGTGATAATGCTACATTTCTGGTCGTGATAATGCTACATTTCTGGCCGTGATAATGCTACATTTCTGGCCTAGATAATGCTACATTTCTGGCCTAGATAATGCTACATTTCTGGCCGCTTTTCTGGCCGTGATGCTACATTTCTCGCGTCAAAGATCAGCCACTCTCGTGAAAGTGATCACAAGCGTTGTAAAACTCCATGAAACGGTACACTGATCCCCAGACAGGATCACACGGAGGTGTGATCTGACCGATGCGTTTCTTTTCCCCAAACATCGCACTCGCATCTGAGCTCACCCCCTAAACTTACATCACTCGCTGGGTGGGCAGGGCCTACAAGTTCGCTCCAGGCAGGATCACATCAAACTGTGAACTCTTCCCTGACCATTGAAGTTGAAGGCAGTTTTTTTCTATTCCCGAATTTGCGAGATAGCCTGAGTTTTAATTGGTATGGTGCACAGAATTCTACACTTAAGTGTAGAATTCTGTGGTATGGTCACAGCGTAATGGTACGTAACGACAAAGGCCGGGGGCCTCAATCAGAGATGGAAGGCTACAATCTTTGGACAGGTAAAAGGGAGGGGCAACTGGATAAACGTAGATAAAGATCTCGAGACGATATGCTAATGAGTGTACGGTATAATACGGCATGCCTCATGCTACCATGCTACTGTGGTTGGTCATCAAGGTTGACCACTCTTTGCTCGCCATCATAAACCCACCCAGGGGTCACGTCAGTTCATGGGTCACTGTAAATTCTTCCTTGGCTTCGTCGGCTAAGATCCCGTATTTCCCTTGCTCTCGAGCACTGGGATCTTAGGCGGAGACTACTGTTGTAGAGAATTTTTGGTTACACTACACTGACTAGACTCTAGGAAATTACATGTAGGCCTATTTTGGTTTGCCGTGGGCGCCGTGGACTACACAGTGTGACCAAA